GAAAACTGGTTGATTCCAGACTGCTGTGTGATCCCCAAATTGTGCATTAATATTCCCAATACAGTAATTGAGAGAGAACTTAACTGTATTAGAGTCATAAGAACTTAACTCTTGGGAGGCGGGGCCTCTGACCTAAATTTGGACATCTGTGGTAACCCCTTCCAGCCCCTGGCCACAGACTGACTCCTAATTGCTTTTATGACATTTGCTCAGCTAGGACACCAGGACCAAGCCAGCTGTTGACAGCGCTGCTCCATTGCTCTTGGGGAATTGAGATTATGTGCTACTGATAGGCACTGTCAGCCATGATACATGCGCATCGGAATATCTTTATATTCTCACACACACTGGTTGCCACTGTGCTGCAGAATTGGGCAGACAATGAGTAGGGGCTTTCTGTGTTGATTTAGACTTAGAAGCCAGAGAGTCTATGGAGCTGTGCTAAAAATAGCTTCACTACAGGCACATTGACTTCTGCTTCATTGTGGGTTCTTGATCTGATTTTTTTTCCTTTTTGGTAACGAAAACTAAGGCCTCCCGAGTCCGGTCAGTTGCCCCACCTATGGCCCCAATTTTGAGTTTGAGAAATGTCATAGTAAACTGTGATACCTCAGTAAAACCCCCCACTCTATCCCCTACAGACAAAGAGAAGCTTAAACCAGGATTCGTAAGTGTAAATAAGAACTTAGACCCCTTTTCCCCAGGTGGCTGTATCTGCTACAGGGACTTTGAAAAACACAGAGTCAGGATATTCGACCAAAAGACTAAAAAGGGAGGCAGGTTAAACCTATGGCCCCAGTTTTGAGTTTGAGAAATGTCATAGTAAACCTTAGGAAAATGAAGAAATAGCTGATATAATAGGAAACACACACTTTCAAAACCCAGCTGCACCTATTTGCAAATGATGCTGTCTGGGAGGAGGGGAACCTGCTGGAGGTCAGTGTGTCAGGCACGCACGCCCCTGTGGAGTCAGGGGTGCACTGTGATAGCATCCTTAGAAACCATTTGTATTGTAAGTACGGTGCTTCCTGTTTAACATGGGCGTTCTGTGACTGGCTCCAAAGCAGCTTCTCTCAGGTGTGGAAGGATGTGGAAGGTGGGTCGATTGCTCCTTTAAAGCCCCTGGGCCACACATAGCCCCAAAGAAAGGAACTAGAATTAGTTTAACATCACCCCAAGAGACATTATGATGATGGTAGAGTTGTTCTGTTAACCCACAGTTGGTGTAAGTTGAGACATCAGGCATTCTTTTTCATGGTTGCTTGAGAAAAGAGAATAGTAATGTGTTATCCCAGTTGTTATGACTGAAATCCTCCCTGTCTCTGTAGGATCAAAGTGCTTAACTTTGCTGGTTGAAATTCATCCTGTCAACAATGTGAAGGTTCTGAAAGCAGTGGAGAGCTGTATTTGGGTACAGGTAAGCAAGCCTGCCACCTATCACTTGTCTCATTAATCAGAAGGTGTGACCTCTACGGAGGAAGGTGCTTGTTTACAAAGTGCCTTCACACACGTTAGCTCATTTGACCCTCCAAGCACAGTTCCAGATGTCAAGGCTGCAGGTTCTAGATGTGAAGGCTGCAGAGTTCCAGATGTGAAGGCTGCAAGCATCAATGCTTCCCTTGTAAACATGGAGACAAGAACTCAGACCCGGCTGCCTCAGCTCTGCTATACCTGTAAGGCAAGGTTTTCACATGATAAAACATCAAATATTAAAATAACTCTGTGGTAAGCTTTAGAATTGTTTATTTCACATATTCACCTGGTTGACAGACTAATTATCTGATTAATGATAGTAAATTCCTGACTTTAGCAACAGCATGGATTGCTACAGAAGCAGTTTGTGGATAATGTGGGTGGACAAGTCATTTTTTATTTGAAGATTCCATCCACATGCGTGCATTCTTGTGTTTATGAAGGTTTATTTGCAATTCAAAATTACCACTTCTGGCACTTGGCCAGGCATTGGCTGAGCGGGTGAGTCACTTGCTTGCACATCCCCAGCTGAGGTGATGCTCTGACTTGTTTCCATGCTTACATTGTAGACAAGAGGTGTTCACTGCCTAGTGGGGTGAGTTTTTAACTTTTGTGCTTTTCTTGTGATGTGACTGAAATGACGTCCCAGTGTTTTGTTGAAGTTTTGTCTAGTGTTTCTAAGAATATAAAGGTTGTGATGTGTCTTACAGTAACGTGTATGTTATCTAAATAAGCTTTATTCAGGTATGTTATTGATCTGTGGGCCATAAGCTCAAAGTTAATGAATCAATAAGATGTGTGACATGAGGTGTATCTCAACAGAAACACACGGACGAGAGTATATATTCATCTGTTTACAAGAGTGTGAACAGAGGTTTGTAGGGACTTAACCTATTTGGCCTGTGATCAAGTTTAGTATTCAGTACCCAGGGTCCTTGGTGATTACCGAAGCGAGGGTTGATTTCACACAAATGTGCTAGAGCATCATTTCCTGTGCCTAACTTCACGCTCTGCTGTCTTTGACTCTCTCCTGTGGTATCTGCTTCAGCCCCGGCTGTAGTTGTTTTGTTACTCTTTACTCTCTGGGGACCCTCCACTCAGCTCCCAAATAAATACACATGGAGGCTTATTCTTTCTCATGAATGCCCGGCCTTAGCTTGGCTTGTTTCTTCCAAGCTTTTCTTTAACTTAAATTATCCGTCTACCTTTTGCCTCTGGGCTTTTTCCTTTCTCTACTTCTGTATACCTTTCTTTACTTCTTTCTCCGTGTCTGGCTGTGTAGCTGGATGGCTGGACCCTGAAGTCTTCCTCCTTTGTCTCTCATTCCTTGATCTCCTTCTTCTAGATTTCTCCTTCATTTTATTCTCTGCCTGCCAGCACCTCCTATCCTTTCTCCTGCCTTGCTATTGGCCGTTCAGCTCTTTATTACACCATCAGGTGTTTTAGACAGGCACGGTCACACAGCTTCTCAGTGTTAAACAAATGCAACACAGGTCTGGAGAGGTGGCTCAGTGGTTAAGAGCACTGAATGCTCTTCCAGAGGTCCTGAGTTCCATTCCCAGCACCCACATGGCAGCACATGACTGTCTGTAACTCCAGTTCCAGGAACCTGACACCTTCACACAATGCACATGAAATAAATTAAAAAAAAAAATGCAACACATCTTTGTGTCATTAAACAAATGTTCTACAACATAAACAAATGTAACATCTTAAAATAATATTCCACAACACCAACCTGCAGCCAATGGGCTGCCTCTTCCCTCCCATCCCCTCCCCCCTCCCATCCCATCCCCCCTCCCCTCCCCCCTCCCCTCCTCTCCTATCGGTTCATCTGACCCAGTGTTTGCCTGCCTCTCCTGTTGCTTGCAGACAGGCCCCAGCCTGGAGCTTGCAAGCCGTTTCTCTCCCTCTGGGAACGACTTTATCCGCACTGCTGCAGTACGCGGGCGGCCGGGAGGCAGAGCACACTTCCCTTTTCCGGCTTGGTTTTGGATTCCCAACATTCGCACCCAGGCAGGGTGAATGATCGTGACAAAATTAAAGGACGAGGACAGACCAGGGAGCTGGGACAGAAGAGAGTGCATTGTTGTCTTTCATTGTGCTGCACCAGCTGGCCTGCACCGGCTGTGTAGACCAAGCTGGCCTTGAACTGAGAGCCATGCCTCTGCCTCAAGGATGCTGGGTTGAAAGCGTACACTACCAGGTCCCACAAGAGCTTTTATAAGTATATGGTTATGCAATGTTGCAAATAAATAAATAAATAAATAAATAAATAAATAAATAAATAAAAGCTACTTTGAAATCATGAAAAGTGGTTAAAATGGTGAAATTTCTGTTATATGAATTTCATCTCAGCTAGAATTAATTAAAAGTACATAATACAAAGCTATATTTATTGGCCAGAGACAAATGTCTCCACCCAAATGAAATAAACCCCATGCCCATTCCATGGGCCCACCCCAGCTCCTTGTCCTACCCCTGTTCCTAATACCCTCTCCTCTAGAGGTGAGAACCGCAAGCCTCCGCCCGTGGCACATTTACCTTCTGCTCTGTCCCTCTCCCGGCAGAGATGCACCCTCCACAGTCCACCGAGTCTGGTCTGTACTGCGTTCTGTCTCCTTTTTTTTTTATCAGCCATCTACAGTTGTAAATTTTCCTATCTGCACTGGCAGTCTTGGTCACCAATGTCAGAGGAACTACAGTAGAAAGTCCTCACATGCCACCCTTTGAGAGTCCCCTCCTGCCTGAGGTACACCAAGAGACACACCTTTCCACACACCTACACTCCATCCAACAACAGATTCTCAGTCTCGATGCATTTGTGAAGCTGGTTCCCTAACTGCACAGCGACTGCATAGACTCTTACTGTGGATTGATTTAGAATGCCAGAGAGCCGTCCTGAACGCTTCTGTAGCTGTATTTGAAGGCTGTGTTCTAATTTCCAGGCCTTGCTCTAGGGCCACCTCATAGAAGATAACCACCACGGGTCTTATAAAATCACTTCCATGGTAGCATGTGAAGACCAGACAGGCTCACAGATCGCAGTCCTGGCTCTTCTGTCCCTCACCATCCTATGCAGGCATGCTGCTCCTGCGAACATTAGGAAGCCTCCTCCTCCTCCTCTCCCTATTTTTTTTAAAGTTCCAGGATAATTTTATCAGAGTTCAGAAGAAAAACATGCCAGGGCAGGTAAGCTATAACTCTCAATGGCTACCCAGAGGAGACTGGAGGAGAGAAGGGGAAAACAGCAGCACTACTTCACGTGAGCCGTCATGGAGATCAGCACGGTAGCAGCAGTCACATGATGGGGAGTGAGGTTCGGATTATTAGAGAGCCCATTTGTTAGGGTAAGCATGCCAGGAGAAGACATAGAAGAAAAGGAAAACATGTCTGTGGCTCTGTAAGAGACCGTGCTGGGGGCAGGCATTTGGGAAAGTAAAGCACCTTCTCTCATTAAAAGGATGATTATTCCACCCATCTCTTAAGCATGGCTTAAAGTGAGCCTGCTTTTCTAGGGCTGGTCCTTCCTTTCTGAGGGGCACCCTCGGCCAGGTCATGGACCTATCCAACTGGATTAACTCTTAAGGAGGCTGACACATTCTTCCTGGACACACCGTCTTCTTAAGGAACAGCTCCTTGTCTCGAAGCTCTGAGCTCTATGGTCACATGTGTGGTGCTGTTCACCTCAGACCTTTCCACAGCTCCGTTGTGCAGGGCATTTTATCTGTACACACTCTAGAAGTCATTAATAATTAGCTCTGTATTACTTTTGTAGCCAAATTCTATATTGCTGTCTATTGTGTAATTTTAGGGTTGTTGCTGAGAAGAATGTCATTCATACAGCTAGTGGTTTGCTCTGCAGGTCTAGAGGGAGATTCAGCAGTGGTTACTTGAAGAAATGGATCTGTCCTACTTCTGGTCTATCATGGAAAGTAAAGGCAACAATGATAGAAAATCCAGTGTCTATGAAACTGAGCCATAAACAGTTATGTCCTTTTATAATGTTTTAAGTTTTGGGTGCCAGGGAACAAAATGCTCTGTTATAACTCCTAGTAAAGCTGCCTTAATATGAAAAGGCTGACTTCTTGTCTGCCACTCTTTTGATGACGAAAGGATTGAGGGTTGGCACCGTCTCGTGCCAGCTTTCCTTCATTATCACAGCCGATAGGGTCAGCCTCATGCCGTGGGCAGACACACAGTGGAGAGCATGCTGGCAGTGTGCTGCCCAAGCCTTCTCTTCCCGGTGACAGCTAGCCTAACTTCGAGCCTTGTACATCTTTAGCCGCTTGCCACATCGTGACTCCCTGTTCTTTCTTGGAAAGTCCCTGGTGACTTCGTTCTTTGTGTCTCAGATGTGGAAGTCTGGAAATTGCAGCAGGGACTGTGTTTATGTGGTTCTCAATCATATACTAGGCTTAGTTTCTCAATAAATGTACTGACCCCACTTTGTCTCTGTGTGAAATAAAACATTGTATAAATGTCATTTGCATTGCTTCTGATTAGCTTTGGAATCAAATATTTCAAACAGGAAGCATCATCACTGGAGGAATTCCCCTCTTATGCTCAAAAGAATGGTGATAAAGTTGTACCTGGTGTCAACCTCCCCCTAGAAAACTGAGATCCTTAGGGGTTCCTTCCTCTACTTGCTTGACCTTTGACATGTCTACATATGATTCCCCTAAAATATTTTGTGGTTCTCAGTTCCTTGCATATCATGTAGCAGTAACCGTAATCAAACAACTACCGAAGTACCAGTACAAGCAAAATAGTTGCTTATGTTTTTTACGGTTCCCTTTCTACAGTTCCTCTACCCACATGTTGAAAGTCATCTTCTACAGAACCACCTGTTACTGATTTCAGAAGAGAAATGTAAGTGTATCTTTAGGTAACGTACAGGGGTGCATGCACACAGTCTCCTAGTGAAAGGGGAAGTCTGTTGAATCAGCTGGATATCTTTACCATTGCCAAGGGTCTGCTTATCTCTGATGTCCATTTGAGACCTAGAATTCCTGTGAGAGCTTTTCTGAACCTCTGCTCAGTTTCCTTGTCTTGGGAAAGGAATAGCTCCTGTACACATACATGTTCAGTTTGTTGACTTGTAGACTTGTAGAACAGTTACACTGTTTGTTTCCTTTAAGATGCCTGTCTGTCAGAGCGGATGACTGTGATCAAGGTTAAGGGGCTTGGGTGGAGAGAAGGAAGGAAAGGCTTGATTGCTAGAAGAATTCCGGGCAGATCTAAAGCACACAGTAGTATGACCAAACTCAAGCAGAAGTGATGCAAGAGGTTATGGCCTTTCAAGATGTTTTCAGATTTGGGAAGGAGTGCAGACAAAACCCACTGGTACTTACCAACAAGCAGGCTTTCATGTCGTGAGGTGAAACTATGGGCTGACTTGCGTTTGGAAGGACAGGTTGCATTATATTTATATTTAGTTTCTTTGTTTTGGCTCAATTTTTGGTACCACATTTTGTTTTGTAATTAGAACCAGCAGAATATAAGTGTGACTAAACCTAAATTGTTACTGTTACTACAAATTGAATTAAAGTGTTACAGATTTTGTTCATGTGATGTTGCCCCTAAAAATACCTCATATCTATATCTATCTATATATCTATGTATCTATCTATGTATCTATGTATCTATCATCTGCATTTCGACCTACATTAATACATATATATATATATATATATATATATATATATATATATATATATATGGAAATTAGAGGTGAACCCCACTACTGAGGCTCGTGTTAGGCAGCAGAGGGCTATATGCTCCATGGATTATAACACGAAGGAGAGAAGTAAATGTGGGTCTGGGAACACTGTCAACAGGGGAGAGTGGTGGCCTTAGAAGGGTCGCGGGATCTCTGTGTAACCGTTAGAAGAACAGCACTGATGGTTTTTCCTGAATGGTAAAATATCTTTCTTTTGGTTTATTTTTAAAGATATTGATCGGTTTCATATCCAGATCACAAGAGAAGATGGAAACAGAGTGGTAAATATTGAAATCCTTTTCCTTCAGAACTCTCTTCTAGGAGGGGCTATGTCTCTGGCTTCCAAAGACAGATGGACTCCATTGGCACGAAACATTTCTTTGATGTCTTTTGAATGACGGCCTTTCTGTTAGGACATGTGAAGCAGAACAAAGATGTGTGGAGGGTTAGGGACCCTCCTCTCTACCTCACCCCCAGTGGGCCCTGAGTCCCTCCACACTCTTGCTTGCTTGTTCAAACCTGTCCAAGGGTAGACGCACACACGGGGAAGTCAATTGTTTGTATTGAATAGACATAATATGTAATTTAATGTCTGTCTTCGTGTTTGCTGTTTTACTGAGGTTAGCAAGTAGAAAAATCACTACTCCTCTGTCTCTAACGTTTATGTATGCACACGTATCGCAGACAGGACCATGACTTCTGTACTCTACCACCCTCCTTTGGTCTGGCATATGTCCTTTCATAGTCTTCTCCATGTTTATTAGCTTATGTTTATTCCACATTTATCTCCACTTGTGATAAACTCTGTCTTGGTTTATTATTAACTCATGTATGTAATTATCTCTAGATGTCTCTAAGCCAGCTAGAATAGCTTCAGTTTATTTTCTGAGGAAGTGCATGGTAGTTCTTGGCAGGGTGTCTGTGATGTTTTAGCCAGTCTGCTGTGTTTGGACCTTTACATGTTGTATCTGTGTTTACACCTTTACACATCGATACCTTCATTTCTTTGGCCTTAATCCTCAGATATGAATGACTGGGTTGGTGGGATATGCATTTGACAAGTTTCAGGAGGGTCTGCTAGCTGCTTCCCCAAAACCTAGTTTTGGGAAGTGTGAGAGTATCAGGTAAATTTACCTTCAGCATTTCCCGATGTCATGGGTGTGAAATCCTACTGCCAGCTTAGTCTGCATTTCTTTTACTGTTTATTGAATTTGAGCATCTTCTCTGTTTACTATTTAAATTTGCTATTAGGAAAATTTACTGATTATATCCTTATCTGTTTTTCTACTTGGTTACCTTTACTTGAGAATTTTTATGAGCTCTAAATATATATAGATATTAAAATGGTTTATTCAATGTTTAGTCTATGAGATAACCCTCATTTTTTTACACTTATTTATGGTGATTTGTGGTATGTTTGAGAGAGAGAGTGTGTGTGTGTGTGTGTGTGTGTGTGTATGGGCAGATCCAGATGCAGCTATGAGGACATGGAGGGCGTTAAGCACACGTTAGATGGGAGGAGCAGTGTCTAAGAACGGGTCGGGAGATGTGGACCAAAGGTGCTGTGGGGAGAGCGAGACGGGGGCTCCTCCCCCTGCCCGACAGCACCGGGCCCAGGACCGCCCAGGCAGGGTCTGTCCATCCGCTTCTGCTCACACGGGGCGGCTTTGGTGGCAGCTCCTATAGGGTGTGTAATTCCACTCTTCACCAAACATGACACAGTGCTACCGCCGCTCCCTAAGTGAGGTCACCAGAGGGACGCGGGCATGCCAGAATCCGACGCTCACCTTGTCACATGGCTTTGGCTGAAAAGATTCCCAAGCCTGTTCCCCCGACCCAGAGTTCATACATGTAGAGACCGGTGGAGTTAGAGGGCACAGACAGGTGCCGTGGGTCCTTGGCATCACTTCCCACGGCCCAGTGGTGTGGACCCAGGAGAGCCAGACTCACCTGAGTTCCGGCAGCACCGACAAGTTCCTTTTGGGTTGGAGAGGGTTCAGGCCTGAAGCGGCACCACTGCAGGCGCCTCTCAGGTCCAGCTCAGGGTCGAGGGTTTATGTTTTACGGTTTGGTGTTTGCTTGGTAGGCATTTTGAGGAAATGTCTTGGGCCTGGAATTTCACATGCTAAGCCACTGAGCCATACCCCCTGCCCTTAGAAAGTAAACTCTATTTTTTTTTTCTTTTCTTTTTTTTAGTTGGGCTCTTGTTTTGTCTCTCAGTCTGGCCTGGAACTTGTGATCCTCCTGCTTCAGTGTCCTGAGTGCTGGTATTATAGATGTGGACTACCATGCCCAGTTCATGAGTGCACATGTATGTAGGTGTGTGTTTTTTGTGTGTGCATCTGTGTATATGCTGATGTGTGCTTGTATGTTGGTGTGTTTTTGTGTTCATGCTGGCAAGTGTATGTGTGTTTGTGTGTTCTTGTGTGTACGTGTGTATATGCTAATGTGTGTATGTGTGCGTGTGCGTGAGCGTGTGTGTGCGTGCGTGCGTGTGTGTGTGTGTGTGTGTGTGTGTGTGTGTGTAGGACAGAGGTCAAACTTGGGTGTGATTCTTCAGATACCATCTCTTTTGAGATAACTCACTGGCTTGAGGCTTGCTAATGAGGCTACATTGGGTAGCCAGCTAGTCCTAGGGGACATCCTGTCTGTCTGCTCACACATGGTGCCTGTTTTTCCCCATGGGATCTGAGGGTCAGGTTCTCAGGGTTACAGGACAGCACTTTACGGCCATCTCCCATCCCCTGGAGCGCTCATTCTTAGCTTCTTCTGTGAAGTCATTGTAAAATCTGCTGATATGTAGAGAAAAGTGCCAGACGTTAGGATTCTGGGCTTCACAGCCTAATCTAACCTCTCTGGGTCTCAGTTTCCCCAAGAGTGACCGTACACTTAAGACCCTCCCACGTGCTGGGAGGATGGTCATGTGCCACAGGCCTGGCTTGTGGGGGCTGGGTTAGTGCTTCCTGTGTGTTAGGCAAGGGCCCCACTGAGCTATGTCCTCTGCCCTGATCCTTTGTTTTTAAATTTCTATTGTTCTTTGAGACATTTTACATTTAAAACATTATTAATGTGCTCTTATTTCATGATTCCTTTCTTCCTTCATGATTCCTTTCTAGAATCAGTCCTTGAGTAATATTAAGTTCTAGAAACACTCAAGACTCGTAGAGTCAGGAGGTGCTTAGGAACATGCACGCTCACTGGGAAGGTCCTCAGGTGTAACTAAGAGAAGCACACAAAAGCCCCACAGGAATACAGAGCCAAGGAACTTTGCCTTTGTATAGGGATTCTGAGGTGAGGTTTTGTCCAAGAGGCAATCCAAGTCAGATCTTGAAGGGTGAGAGTCAAGTATTGCTGATCGATGGGAAATGCCACCCCTTTATGTGTTGTGAAACACGTAAAGAAGAGACCATGACCAAAGCCACCAGATGGTGAACAGCTCATCCAGGCTCTACAGTGTTCTCCATTAGGCCTGGTATCATGAGCCTTTGTCTTTGGAGACCTGATCAAAGGGGTGTGATTACAGCAGGAAGTTATAAACTTCTGTTAGTACACATGTTTGTGGAAGGTGTGGCCTCTGCAAAACTGCCTGTTAAGCTGAGAAGAACAGAGCGTAGGGCATAAGGAAAGAGGCGATGATGCCTCAAACATTTTATAGGAAAAGCATTTATGTTGTGGATGTGGGGGAGGTGCTAATAATTAAGTAGGGGCATTTACGTGTCTCACAGGGATAGGATATGTGTAAATAAAGACTTAAGATGTCATTTTTAAAATACTTACTTATAAAATCATTTTGTCTCCAGGTGATTAGAAATTCTAGCCATCTCCCAAGAGACAGAATAGCTGAAGATTTTGTTTGGGCTCAATGGGATATGTCAGAGCAGAGAGTATACTACATTGAACTGGAGGTAAGAACTAGCCCATGGGTACCTGTTTCTATAGAAACAATATAATTTTGACATCACTGCTGTGTCCTAAAAAATGTTTGAGATTTATTTATTTTTATTTTATGCATATGGGTGTTTTACCTGCATGTGTGTCTATGCACCGTGTGTGTGCAGTGTTCGAAGAGGCCAGAAGAGGGCGTTGGATCCTCTGGGACCGAGTTACAGATGGCTTTGAGCTGTAATGTGTGCACCAGGAATCTAACCCAGGTCCTCTAGGAGAGCAGCCAGAGCCCTTACCCACTGAGGCGTCTCTCCAGCCTCTGCTGTAGTATTTTAATAGCTACATTACCATTAATAGGAACAGCCAATGAAGGTTTATTAAAGACAATAAACAGGTTTTGCTGTTACTGCTTCTTGACCACTTTTCTCTTCAGCTTTTTTATTCTTGGAGATAAGATATCAAGCATTTTCTTTTCTAGAAATCAAAGAGTGTCTTGAAGTGCATCCAGTTTTGGGCAGACGAAAGCTTTAATTTAATGGTAAGTACACAGAATGAGCTATCTGAGGAAATTTTACTAGAGTTGAAATCATAAGCAGCATTTCTGGTATTTTGAAATTGTGCCAGTCACTTGCATGATCAAATAACTTGGTTTCTGCTGTCTTGAGATCAGATGCGCAGTTGATGCAGGTGAAGAGGATATGATGCATAAGAGAGTATGTTTTGAAAGCAGCTGCCCTAAGAGGGGCTTGGAGGAAGGAATAGATGTGATCAAGAGCAGGTTGCTCTAAGTGGTTGCAAGTTATTGACTCAAAAGGAATCAGGAATAGAATGGTTTGAGGATGAGGAAGGAAGTCAGTTAGAGTGTATAGTTTAGTAAGCACCTAGCGTCACCCTTGGAAAAGCTGTTGGGGGGTTGGTCTGTCTATGGTAAGGCACTGCATATGTCTTTATCTGGGATGGACACCATTTCCTTCCTTTCTTAGGACCAATATTGGTATCAAGCACATATTGGTTTCACACTATTACAAGACTTTCTTATCATTTCCTGCCCCATTTTTAGCTCACCCACTCCAGAAGACATCCCAGGCTCCCTTCCTTCCCTGAATGTCTGTCTTGTAAAAGGTGTGGCTGTTAATTGTCCTACTACACAATCTGTTCATGGTATTCATTGAAGGCAGAATTAGCCTTGTAGGAAAGAAACGTGCACTGAATGTATCTGTAAACCAAGATATTCCCAGTAGACTCCCTGCCCTGTGGGTTCTGGGTCTCGCCTTTGGGGAGGATGGTTAAGTGGATTCTATCAGCAGGCCAGCCGAGCACTGGCAGCTTGCTTTGCATTTCACAACCATTATCATGTAATTTTTTTACTGAAATTTCTTTGAGATTATAATATAGTTATAAAATTTCTCCCTTCCCTTTCCTCCCTCCAAACCCTACCCATGTGCCTTCCCATTCTCCTCCAAATCCATGGCCTTTCCTTTCATTCATTCTTATTGTATGCTTATATGAATATGTACAAACATGTCTCTACAATGTTACTTATTGTATGCTTATATGGATAGGTATACACATGTCTGTATAATGTTACCTATTATATGCATATATGAATATGTATACACATGTCTGCATAATGTTACTTATTGTATGTATATATGAATATGTATACACAATTCTGTATAATGTTACTTATTGTATGTATATATGAATATGTATACACATGTCTGTATAATGTTACTTACTGTATGCATATATGATATGTGTATATACATGTCTGTATAATGTTATTTGCATGATTTCAGGGCTGACCATTTGTCATTGGAAATCAGTTGAAATGCTTTTCTCTAGGGAAGACCCCTAATGTCATTTTTAATGCTGATCGCCTTCTCATTTTTTTGACAGTTTGAAATGCCCTTGGACATATCATTGAGTGGCTTAGGATTTAAGTAAGTTATCCATAGAATGTTAAATTTCATAGACATTTATAGGTAGCAAAATGATGACATCTTCTTTTAATTGTGATAGGTAGATAGTGGAACAGTCTGATATTTTATGCATCTATTTTGAGATTTATTTACTTTTGTTTTATGTGTGTGGATGTCTAGCCTGCATATATGTCTATGCACCATGTGTGTACAGTGTTTGCAGAGGCCAGAAGAGGGCGTCAGGTTTCCTGGAGCTGGAATTGCAGGCAATTCTGGCCTGCCCTGTGGGTGCTGGGCATCAAATCTGGTTCCTCTGGAAGAGCAGCCAGTGCTCTTAACTGCTGAGCCATCTGCCTAGTCCCTTGTGGATCTATCATTAATATTCCTGTTCTTTACAGACTATAAGCTGATTTGTCAATGGACACAGAATTACATGTGTGAAGTCAGCTGTGTTGATTTTCTTAGCCATGCATTTCTGTAGGGCACCTGCATTTATTTTGGTGTGTGGAAGTGCTTGTCTCCCTGTGACTGACAAGAGGGTCTGTGAGTCAGCATGAATGCATTTAGAGCAAACGTCAAAATGTTTCTTACTGCCAACAAGAGGTCACAGGTCAACCCACTTGTAACTCAGCCCAGTTTCTTGCTTTATTTATTTTTTCTTGTTTTCTTCTTTACACAAAAGGCAAGACTTTTCTTTTTACAGAGTATTTTATGTGAGGTAAAAAGCTACAGAATTTAAAAAGAAGTGAAACAGAACAGAGTGCCTCAAAGGTCAGAAGAAAAGAGTCTTCCAGAATCAGAGTGATGGCAGTCCTGGGCCATTCAGTGCTTTGCCGGCTTTAATTAAACGTGTATGATATCTAATTGGGCCTATTTTGAACACATATGTGCATATTTTAGATAACATTTACTATAAATCACAAATATTATGAAAACATATGTTCTAAGCAATAACATTTTCTGTCTATTGCCAGGCCCATATCTTTTATGTAGCAATATATTTTTAATCACTGTTTTACATTTTTTTAAACAAAAATTTTCTGCTGAAATATATCAGAAACATTTTTCTGCCTCTGTGAGTGTGTTGTAGTGGTTATAGCATGTATAAAGAGAATACCTTTTTAAATGCATTCAATTTCTTTTCCTTTGTAATCTTAGATTTGTCAACTTTGGATATGATTGTTATCAAGACCAAGACAAGTTGTGTCGTCAGCCTTCTCTGTGCATTTTTACCAACCACACAGGTAGAGTCAGGATTCTCCTTACCTGTTTTTACTAACTTGAGTTCTATATAAATTACAGTCATTGTTCAACTATGTGAAGCCTGAAAATGAAATAAAACAGCCACATTATTTTAAAAATCATCAAATGGGCCAGGCATTGGTGGTGCATGCCTTTAATCTCAGCACTCAGGAGGCAGAGCCAGGTGCATCTCTGTGAGTTTGAGGCCAGCCTGGTCTACAGAGAGAGATCCAGGACAGGCACCAAAGCTACAGAGAGAAACCCTGTCTCAAAAAACCAGAAACAAACAAAAAAATCATCAAATGGATATTTATGTGCATTCATATGTCACATTATCTTCTCCACTGCAACCTTACCCTTTTGTCACTGAGCGGGGAACGTAGGGCTGACTCCTAATGGCATAAGGTGAGTGACACACAGTGATGAGTGTCCTCGCACTAGGATTTAATATGTATTTGTATTGATGAGAAAAGCCACCACCAACAGGGTAATTGTTCTAATAGATTTTACTGTTGTTGTTTTAATAGAGTGGGTGGATTCACATTTACTCAATGCACATTTTCCCATAGGAAATGCTTTCTATGTCAGCGTTACTGATGTACTGTGTTCTAATTATTTATTTTTTGTTACATTGTTTTGCATGTGTTGTGTGTGTTTGTGGGCACGTGTGCCATTGCATGCATGCATGTGGAAGCCAGAAGACAAACTGTGGGAGAGAATTCTTTCACCATGTGGGCTGCAAGATTGGGTTCATGTCAGGCTTTGTGTCAAGCACTTTTACCCGTGGAGCTATCTCCTCGGCCCATGTTTGGCGTCTAAGCCTATGTACCTGGACATAAATGCTGTGTGACAGACTGCTGTTCTAGAGGCTGGAGCTTGACACATGTCTGTTTATGTAGAGAACATGGAAAGGGGGAAAGGGAACCTAAAATGAAAGAGAAATATGATTATATGTATTCAATCTTCTGAGAAAGCATATCAAATTCAATTAACATCTAAATCAACCCTGAAAACAAAGCATAATAGCCATTTTAATATATCAATCTCAGCAGATATATTCCTTCTTGAGTAATTTTTTAATTGAAATCATAGTCTCCATAAACATATACAATTATTTAAAGAAAAAATATGTGCCATTCACATATTAATCTAACATGGAGCATTACTGTGTGCTAGGGTTTTCAAAATACTTTGTTTTTAATCGAGTGTGTGTGTGTGTGTGTGTGTGTGTGTGTGTGTGTGCGCGTGCGTGCGCGCACGCACACATGGATGCAGGTGTTTGTGGAGGCCAGAAGAGGGCATTGGATCTCCTGGAATTAGAGTCACAGGGGGTTGTAAAGCATCTAGCGAGGACACTGGGGACCAAACTTTGGTCCTTTGCAAGAGCAGTTGACTGCCCTCAGGCACTCCTAACTGCTGAGTTGTCTCTCCAGCCTCCCAGACCAAGTTTGAGCAACACAGTGATGAGCAAACATGACCTGACCCTTAGTAGAGGCTACTGTTGGTGAAGATTCTAGACATTTCATAAGTGCACACATACTATTCAAATAGAATCATGATAAATACTAAGAATGAGAATTACAGGAAGCTAGGAGATTATATGGTGAATATTTAATAGAAGGTAGCAGAGTTTTGAAATATGTTCGTCTCTGTTTCTCCCTCTCTCCCAGTCATTCCAGCCCGTTCTCCTTTAGTCCTGAAAAGTACTTTTTCCTACCACACTCCTTCATAATCCATTCCATTGTTTATCCTATCAACCCAGTCTTCCTCAGCCACACGTGCCCCTCCATCAACCAGTCCTGGTGAATTCAAAGACTGTGATTGTTCAGCTGGAAACTGTCTATGAACATCTCTCACTGTGAGCAGGGGTGGGGAGGAGGGGGACTGAGAGAGGAAGGTGATGATGTAGGCAGGGCTAGATGAAGTAGGGCCTTGCAGACCATAAAAGCTTTTAGGTTTTATTCTAAGATTTATGAAAAGTCATAGAGTTTTTTATCACAATTATTTCATAATGCTCAAGCATATAAAATAATTAAAAATATAACGAATACTTATATGTCTTGTTTAATTATATAATTTTCAGTATTTCCTTTATCATCTTCCCATATATAAGTAAACCATTTAAGAGCAGATTGTAGGTAGGTTGACGGTACACACCTGTTGTCTCAACACTCAAGCAGCCGAGGAAGATGGGCTGTGAGTTTAAAGTCAGCTTGGGCTCAATAGTGAGACCCTGTCCGAAAAACAAAAGTAACATTCAGACACTACACACTTGACTACCAAATAATTCAGTGTGTATCTCGTCAGATACTTTTTCAGATAACCCATGTTCCATTATCCTTAAAAGAAATCAATTACTTTAACCAATACACTTTATCTGTGGTGTCTTTTAATGTACAATTTCTTTTATACCTCTGTCCCAACTCCTTTTTCACAAATTGAACATATTGAGGAGTGATTTACCTTTGAAAGTGTCCCACATTCTGGATTTAACTCCTTGTTTCAGGTGGAAGCCTTAAAAATTCCCCACTATTCTTTGTGTCTCCTATAAAACAGAAGTTAGGCACGGTGGCAGAGTTAGACACAGGTTAAGTTTTTGTGAGACTACCTCACAATGGTGTTGTGAAGTTCATTTGCATCAGAGCAGGAGGTACATAATGTCAGGATGTCTTGCAACTGTTTATATAGATGCCAGATTTTGTCATGTGGCTAAGTAGCAACCATGTGTAAGTGCCCTCCAAAGGTATATTTTAACCTTGGAATGAGTTAGTTTTGAATAATAATTTGGAAACACATGACTATTTCCTGACAACTTCACCTAACAGTTTTAGGATCCATTAATACTCCTTCACTAAAGTGTAATAAGCAGGCAGTGATATGACTGGATATATATTCTTAAGCGGTGTTCGCAGTAGCCAAGCTACAGAATCAGCCTCAGTGCTTGTCAACATATTATGCCTGGTTAAATGTGGTGTGTACATACGATGGATTGTTGTTCAGTCAAAGAAGAACAAAACCATGTTACCTGCAGAGAAATTGATGGAACTGAGATCATTACGTTAAGTGAAATAATCTAGACATAAAAATATATTATGTTTTCTCTTATATGTGGGAACTAGAACAAAGAAAAAAGATGGCCTGAGATCAGTAGAAGGGCTACCAGGGAAACGTAAAGAGACGGGGGAGCAGGGGAGAAGCTGGCCGGGGAGGTGGGTATGAGCAAACTATCATGTATGGCTGTATAGAAAAATGTCACAGTGAGGCCTGCTACTGTGTGTCATTAATCTGCAGTGATAAATATAATAAAAGGCCATCACTGTAGCTGCTGGATGGAGAGAGGTGTGAGGAGGAAAGAGAACTAGGAGATCAGGTTCAGATGAGATCAGAGTCACATTTGAGATGACGAGGACTTGAACTGCAATGGGCAGAAGAATATAGAGAAATAGACGGGGGCAAGGCACATTTTGGAGATGAAGCAGAGATACCTTCCTATAAGGAGGTGGAGAGGAAAGATTCTTGGGTTTCTGGCACCAGCAAGTGAATGCTGACGGCACTTTACCGAGGTGTAGGAGCCTTTGTGGACGCATGAAGGAAGATCATGGGCTCCGTTTTGAGCATGTTAATAAGAGACCTGGAGCACAGAAGAGGTGTCAGGAGCAACGGTGAATAAATATGAGAGCAGTCAGAGTGTGTCCAGCATTGAAGCCACGGGAGGAGATGAGGTGAGAAGGGAAGGTGCTTGGGAGCTCGAGTGTCAGGAGGAGCATCTAACTGAAAAGGACAAAAGGATAGCACAGGGACCGGAGGCAGAGTGAGGTCTCGCCCAGGAGAAGAGCCGGTAGTGCGGTGGGAGATGGCGTTCCCAGGGGCTGGCACCGGGAGCCGCCGGTGTTGGTGTCTGGAGAGAGATCTTGACTCTGCTTAAGCTGAGCAGCACAAGGAGGAAGACAAAGCTATAGAAGCTTGTGAGAGAGGTAGCAGCAGGGAGTGGGCATGGATTCAGGGGTTTCTTTCTTATGTGCATTGGTGTTTTGCTATGGGTGTAGGGTCCCCTAGAACTTGAGTTACAGACAGTTGTGAGCTGCCATGAGGGTCCTGGGAATTGAATCTGGGTCCTCTGGAAGAGTGGTCAATGTTCTTAATGGCTGAGCCATCACTCCAGCTCCAGGATTTTTTTAGACTCCAATTATTTAAATGCTTACGGGATATATTTAGTGGGAAAGAAAAATGGGAGAAGGCTAGCAGAAAGAATTTTGCTTTTGAAGATGGGATGAAATAAGATGCGGGGCTCACAGGGATGACCTGGGAGGCTCACAGGGATGACCTGGGAGGCTCACAGGGATGACCTGGGAGGCTCACAGGGATGACCTGGGAGGCTCACAGGGATGACCTGAGCAGGCTCACAGGGATGACCTGAGCAGGCACACAGGGATGACCTGAGCAGGCTCACGGGGATGACCTGGGAGGCTCACAGGGATGACCTGGGAGGCTCACAGGGATGACCTGAGTAGGCTCTACCACTTCAGGCTTTACTTCTCTGTGGAGTTTCCCTTTTTATTTTATTCAGAGGAACTCATTATGAACAGTAGCAACCATAACTTATAAAAGGGCTACCACAACTTAACATATTGAGTTCATCTGGTACAAGATGCAGAAGTGTCTCTCTCCCTTTCTTGGCAATGTCTAGGAGGGTAGAAAATGGGCCTTATTCTTTGTAGTCAGTTTTGCAGTAGAAAAAGTAAGTCTGTGTCAAGTGACATAAACAAGCTGCAGCAGCATTTGTTGCTGTTGTTTGGGGCAGTAAGTTGCCAGTCCCCGTATTTTTCCAACTGGGTTTAAAAAAAGATTTCTTACCTCTATGGTTAAAATAGACAAGATTGTGGTGTGGCTAGGCAAGTTGGTGGAAGAATCCAACTACAGGCCAGAGTAAATAGAAAGTGGTTTATTTAATACAGCACAGAAGAGCAGCGGACATGGCAGCAGCAGCGGGACTGTGTGGGAGCGCTGGGAGGCAGAGTCTGGGTTGGGGGGTGAGCCACTTCCTGTGCAGTTTCTTGTGATGCAATGAGCACCTTGCAAACAGGAGAAGTTCTGTGACCTGGGCTCGCAGGTAATTTTGTTTGGCTGGGCCGTTCTGCTATCCACTGTTTGGACAGAATGGAGCCGTGGTTTTTCTCTTTGGAGGAGTTTTCTGGACCAAGCCTCCCTTTCTGGTTTCCCACCATGGCCTTTTTTCCACTGAGACCTACTCCAGCAAAGTAAGATTAGAGAAAGGTCCCAACTTGCCTAATCCAAGTGTAGCTCCCCTGTGATAGTGTAGATCTGGGTCTTGAAGCCTGGAAATGGGGGTTGAGAAAGGAATGCAGATAGATTCAGGGCCGATACATGCCCATTTTACCTCTCTCTTTCCGAAACGAAGGCGACTTGAAGATGCTTGACAGCGGTCCATCGTACCTAGGGCCTGGGGCCACTGTGTCTCTTCAGCATTGGTTTTACACTCTTGAAGCTCCTTTGTCCTGTATTTTCCTGCTCTAGGCAATGAAATTGGGTGCCTTCCAGGGAACGAAAGGCTGACATCTGAATGATGGGTGTGCTCCTAAGAGTTACTGGAGGGCACAGTGCTACCGCCAGTGCCAGGCCACGTGTGAGTCACTTAAGATTGTGAGTTCATGCGAACATTTCTAATAAATCTATTACGATAGGAAGGCAAACAAATCACTGAAGAGAAAATATTGCTTCTCTACCTGGTGGTCAGCTCTGACTAGGCGCTGTGGTTAGACGAGCATGGAGGATCTAAGTTGGCCACCTTCCCTTCTGTGGGAACCTGCAGGGAGGCAGTGAGTGAGGTGCTGAACCTCCCACCTCCTACTTGCATGATGGCAAGTCCTCAGAATTGGGCCAGTGTTGGAGCATTTTATAGAGCCCTTTAATAATTGTTCCAATGAGATAATTTCCTTGGAAAAACTTGTCTGTAATAGTTTTCATTGTCTAAATGGTTCCCCAAAGTGAGCCAATGTGGAGATGTTATCTTCATCATTGATGGATATTCACTAAAAGTCTCTGGATATTACATTAAGAGCATATTTTGTTTTTTTAAACCATGACTTCCTCCAACTTAAAAATAGCAGCCAAATTATTCTGGAATAATAATAATAGCAGCTAACAGTTGGAACCAGATATAAATATTTTTGCCAGAGATTGATATAGATTATTTGATCCTCATATAAGAACTTTAAGAAGTAGTTTCTATAATTTTAAATGTACAGATGAAGAAACCGAGGCTTGGAGAACTAACTGGCCAGAGGCAGTGTGCTCTGTAGACCAAGGGCTTGGGAGACAGAGGACAAGAGGAGGCAAGGCTGGCCCGCTGTGCAGAGTGAGCTCCGGACCAGCCAGGGCTCTGCTGCAAAACTCTGCTAACACAACAGCAAGACTGGGTTAGGGATGCTCGGCCAGCAAAGTTTACTTCAGAATTTGAACGCTTGTGGTCCGCACTGTTGATGAGGGATTCTTAACCAGGATCCGTTGAAGCACAGCATCTTCGTTCGTAGGTAACTGACATTAGCAGCAGCTACGAGAGGTAACGCAGAGTTTTGCACAGTGAGAAAGATGCAGCAGCTAGTGAAGGTCGGGGAAACCGTGCTCTGGTGTGGGCCAAAGCTCTCAGGGACCCAGCATGGGAGAGGACCATCTCACGAATTTACTCTCATTACTCATAGGAAAGGTCCATAGTTCGCACTTCAATCTTCCTTTAAAAATACCGGATGTCTTCTTTAAAAAGAACACAGTTTGGATAGCTGGGATCCAGAGCTCTGAGAGATGACTGGGAGGGGACAGCTAGGTAAGATGACAGTGTGTGCACATTCATCTCAGCTTCATGCAGGGGGACCTTTCCTAGAGTCCCACAGCTTCCCGTGCAGAGGAGTGTGTGTCTGTTCATTTCCCACCCTCAGTGCCTGCCACAGTGCACTGCCTGTAACTGGATGATAAATGCTGACATGGAATTTCATAGCAACTTGTTAATACCACTCTGTAAAGACTTTAGGAATAATCTATGAAGTCAGATGGGGAAGGATATCTAAAGGAATAGAAGTAGGTGACTATTATGGAAATTTATTATGCAGATTACTTAAATTTTACTAAATACCTTCTTTTTCCTAGGGAGTTTGTGTGTATGTTACAGCCCAAAGTGTGACTCTTGGAAAAAAATCACATATTCAGTGTTTTACCTTCATAAAGGTACTTCTTAGTTTATTCTCTTTTACTTTTTCCAAATAGTAACAAATTAGATAAATTGCAAACATCTTAACACTTAGCAAGCAGTATTATCAGTATATTTTATGATTAACTGTGTAGTTATGTTTTATGAAGAAATTAATTAATGGTAAATAGTAAGATAGGTAACTTTTATACTGCATATGTTTTTGTATCAGCATGTGGCTTGTTCTAGACTATGGACCATTTCTAATGGATGTATTTGCCAAAGTGTGTTGGTTTACCGTTTAGTCATTTCTAAATGGAACTTTAATCTACATAGTTACATAGGAATTTAGTTAAAATCTTCTTTGATCTCAAATGTAAACCGACTGTCATTCCAGAGTATGCTATACTATCAAACTAAGATATTTACTTCATTTCAACATTCTGGGGTGTGGGGTGAAATGTCGGCCTCTGCCGCTTCTGTGGTCACAGCACACCCTGCAGTAGTTTTAGTTTGAACCATGCCTAGGAGGATTTTTGCTTGTTTGTTAATTCCTCAAAATCTACAGTTGTGCCAGGCATGGTGGCGCACACCTTTAACTTCAGCACTCAGGAGGCGGAGGCGGGCATGTCTCCAGGTTCAAGGCCAGTCTGGCCTACACAGCAAGTTCCAGGCCAGCCAGAGCTACAGAGAGAGACTAATGTATTTGTAGAGTGCATGTGTGAGTGTGGCTGAAACTTTTTAAAGATGGAATTTCTGTTCCAACACTCAATTTCTTTTATGCCAAGCCACATAAAAGTTTAGAATCCTGGAGTAGTGCTTGATATTACTAGGGTGTTAGAAATCAAGGCAGAAAAGTTTAAGAAATTTTTAATGGATCAACTAAAAGTAACTTCAGAACTAGTTGTAGACATATTCTTAAGCAGTGTAAGGTTGTGCAAGACATTTTTGTGTGTTTCTAATAGTAATTCCAAGCAGCACATAGACTAAGTTAGAGGAGTAGCGTGAAGCCAGCACAGTTTCATCCGCAGCTTAATCCCCTTTCTCACTAAACGTGGGACTGAGTTGGAGAAATCTTAGCAGGTTGGTAAAAACTGTAGAAATGAGCCCTGAGACCACTTCCATCTTAGATATTAAGCAGACCCCATTGGACCCCCCTTAAGGCCCCCCCACACACTCCAAGGCTAGGTTTGCCTGAACTGGCACATCTGCTCCACTGTGACTGCCCTCAGATGGTCCACGTTGGTGGCTTTTGGAGAGTGAGGGCACCATGAATTCTAGAGGCCAGCAGGTGCTTACCCTGTCTGCGTTACACAGTGTGAGGTCAATGCTAGCCTTGTTTCTTAACTTTCTCTGGCTTCATGTTCTTCATCTGCAGGATACAGAAAGACCTTTACTGCTGCTTCTGGGAGTGCTGACTCACACGTGGCAAAGGGCATTACTTTTCTCAACCTCGGTGGGTATCCTGGTTTGCTCCTCTGTTGCTGTGGTAAACATACCAAAAGCAACTTGGGAGAAAGACTTGATTTCAGCTCCCACTTCCAGGTAACAGTCTACCATCACCGAGGCAAGTTGGGCATGAACTTAGGTAGGCAGGAAGCAGAAACAATGGCGGGATGCTGCCTGCTTACTGGTTGTTCTTCTCTCCCTCTTCTGGATCATGCTCAGCATGCTTTCTTATACCTCTCAGGCCTACTTGCCTAGGGGATGCACCTCCCACAGTGGACTGGGCCTCCCACATAAATTATTCATCAAGAAAATGCCCTACAGAAGACTTGTCCACAGGCCAATATGATCTAGGCAATTCTTGACTTCCCTCTTCCTAGGTGACTCTCCTTTGTTGACAATAAAACTAAGGAGCACAGTGGTAACGGAGATGGACCTCTCCCTACTCTGTTCTTCCAACATTGCTCTGCTCAGTGGTCACACTCTGCCCGAGCTTCACTCTTTTCTCCATGACTCCATTTTCTCATACCTCCGAGACATGGCTTGTGACAGTCACTGACCCTTTTCAGTCTGAGGGGACAAGGTTTTCTCTGGCACACACCCCTCTTACTCAGCTCATCAGCTTTTGGGGTTGAAGCGTATCTTCCTTTTTTAGAGATCCCAGGCTGTGAGTTTTCTTGGAAGCAGCCCTTAAAAAGCAATTTGTTAGTATACAAATGACCATGAATAGCATGTCCCCTAAGAGCCTGTGAGAAATCATAAATCATGTTGGCCCTGAATTCTAGAGGAAGAAAGGCCTTTAGACAGTTGTCTGTTCCCTCCCATTGATCATAAAGACTAGCAGAAGCCCCCATTAGTGATGTGTGGACCAGCTTAAGTGAATTGTTTTCTCTAGATACGGTGAGAGGAAACTTAGTCTTAGAAGGGAGCATGTGATGGTCTCCACATGGTGAAGAGAGCACAGAAAGGGTTGCATCTCCACACCGAAAGCACTTTCCAAGGCCACGTGGAAGGGGGGCCCAAAGTGTAAGTGACTGGTGACAGCTCTGGGACCTGCTTACATATGGGAAGGACACAGCATTTGAAGGGGAAAAGCTTCGGGTTTACAGCTCATGACTCTTTGGTAGATTTTCCTTTCCCTGCCTGCCAGTCTATTGGCTTCTATGACAAAGGTTTGACTAATGAGTGTGAGGAAACCGGGAGAAGAGGGGACTAAAAATAAGCCCCCATTTTTTTTTTTATTTTGAATGATTCTGTTGGTGAGGTTAAGTATCTTTTGCTGTGTGGTCCAGTGCATGGCACACTTGGACATGATATTGGACCCTGGGAACTGGCCTTGGAGAGCTTGGCTCTGCTGCTTCCTGACGGGGGAGAGATGGAGAGTCTGGCATGGCTCCCATCAGCAGTGCTGCGTCCACATTCATCTCAGCAGTAACGGGCACCTATCCACTAACCATGCTCTTCCAGGCCTGCGCTGTCTTCCTTTCCTCCTCCTGGGAACAGTTAGAAAGGATGGCATGATTCAGTCCATGGTCTTGCAGAGGGCAGAAATACCAGAGTTTGTAAACACAATTTGTCTCACACAGCTGTCTTTTATTCTTAAGCATTATTTATTAATAGCCATAAAGTTGTATCTAAGATTTAAACTGTTCTATTATAAAAGTTACTTTTTTGAGTAGTATGTTTTGCTATCCATTGCTTATAATTTCCATTTATTATTACTCTGCTGAAAAGGGCTTGCATTGATTGGAATATAGAGACTTAACTTTCTTCTTCTTCTTCTGGACTCTATACATAGCTGTAGCATTATGTTTCCTGGGGAAACAGAGAAATTCCTGTTCACCCAAGACAGAGCAACAACAGACAAAAGAAATTATTCTACCCAAGTCCATCTTGGTAAACCAGTGTGTTTACTGCGATTACCTACAGGAACATGGATGAGCCTCTGCCTTTCCCTCTATGAGGGAGGCTTTAACGTGGAGGCAATCGCCACACAAAAGGATGTGTATAAGTCAGGCATATAAATAAAAGACACCATTTAGTAAATAGTGCACGTTGAATATTTTACAACAGCTCTGCCTGTAGAAGATATCCCCATCACCCAGACACAGAAGCTGAGCTGAGAAAGGGTTAGATTTGTGCCCAGGTTCCTTTCAGTGTCTTTCTTAAGAGGCATCCTACCGTTTTCCATCGCTGCATAACAAATGACCACAAAGTTCGGGTTTAGACAGCAGAAGCATTCTGTTCCCAGGCTGGAGTTCAGAACTGGAAAGGTGTGCTGAGCGACTAAGGTACTTCCTGCCTCCTCCGGCATCTAGGGGCTAGTTCCATCATCCTGGTCGCTTTGTCACTGTGTGGTCACTTCCTGCAGGCAGGTTCCTCTCTCCCTTCCTCTTAGTAACACTTTGATCACACTGAATCCTCCAGGGTAGTCCAGGATTCCCTCCTCATCTCAAGGTCCTAGTCACATCTGCACCGGTTTCCTGTCCTCAGAAAGCGAACCTAGGGCAGGCAAGAAAGCTTGATGGGTAAAGGCTCTTGGTCCCAACCCTGACCTAAGTTCAGTCCCAGCATGGCCGACTCCTACAAGTTGTCCTCAACGTACACTCCCCAAACAAGTGAATAAACGTGATAAAAATGATAGAGATTGGCTCAGTGCACGAGTAAGAGCCATCATCGACCTGTCAGGCAGCTGCTGATGTTTTGGATGAAGCACTGATTTTTTATGGCAGATTGTCCCACACACTGTTGGATAGACAAGCCCTAGAGTCCACTAAACAAATGTTAGTAGGAATCTCCTACCCCACCCCCACAACTGTGTGACTCCACAGTACCTTTCAGATGTCCTCCGGCCTGGGACAGAGCACCACCATGACGCCCGCCATGTTAGAGCCAGCACAGCTCTCTGGACTCCCTTTGTGGTGGGTCCCTCTGAACAGCTCTGTCATTTGCTCCAGCGGTGTTGCTGTGGCGGGAAGGACTCTGCAGTTCTCTGCTCTTTGACGTCACTTCAGCCCGAAGGACACTTCAGTTGGCTGGAGTTTCCTGTCCTCCTTCCTTCCTTTCCACAGCTGCTTTCACAGCGTGTGGAAGACCAGCGTGCTCCTCTTAGAGGAAGGAGCTCCGATAGCTGACAGAAGTTTCTTTTATAAAAGCACTACTCTGTTTTTGTGAGACCCTAGGAGCCTATTTTTATATTGTATCTCAATTTGGGCACATATGTTCTGATTACTAGGTACACAGGGAAACCAATGACTATTGCACAGAATGCCAAGGCTCCCAGAGACACACTTGGATAAATACCAACCTTAAAATTTCCTACACAAAACGATGATGACTCAGTACGGGAAACTGCATTTCATAGCTTCCTCAAGCCATCAAAGAGATGAAGAAAATTCCCATTACAAGCTGTTCCCAGCACAGCACATTGAGGAGTCATTCATGTTGCTTGATATTTTTCTTCTAAATTTCTTCCCAGATCACTTAGATTCACATAAAAGATTCTCAGAAACAAAACCATTGGCATAAATAATAAGCCATGACTTAGTGTACAAAGAGGGTGAGCCACACACAGGGCCAGTCAGATCTGCCTGTTCGGATGACAATACTCACATCAATCACATTTGCTACTGGTAATAAATAAATAAGTAAGTAAGTTAATTAATTAATTCTGCTTTGCCATATTCAAAGTAAAACATGTTGTTCTCAGGTTTATCTGCACCTAGGTAGACTTTATCACATGTGGATGACTCCAATCTCTCTTTCCTATAGGCTACCTTGTGGCTGTTTACTTCCCTGGTCATTTCCTCCATTTACTTAACATTCAGCACCCAGACTTGATCTGCCACAGTCTGTTTCTGACAGGTATGGTGTCTCTCGCGGATGCAGTCTCCTTGGGCTTGCTCTGACTTCAGCACCTGTCTGGGTCAGAGAGGCTCATTTGACCATCTGCTTTTATTTTTTGTTTGCTAGGAAACAAAATGGCTGCCGTGCTACCTCCCGGTCCTTTGCAGTCTCTGCCAGGGTCCCTGATACTGGACTGCTCTTCTGGAAAGGTCTACAGAGCAGCCCTTGACCAGTCCTACTTGATGTGGCTCCTGTGGAACGCCCGCCTGGACTGTGAGAAGATGGCTGCACTGCACTGTGTACTCTCCTGTGGTCGAGACCCAGGTTTCCAGGAAGATCAGGTGAGCAGATAGCGTGAGTTCAAACACTGGCAACAGACAACACCAAATATACTTACTTGCTGCTTCAGGAGGGTCAGAAGTTATTTTTGCTTGGTGGCAGTGTCTTTACTTGGTGCTTCCTTTCTGGGGGCTCTCTGCCAGGCCTCAGGCTGTGAGGGTACATCTATCTGGCTCTTGAGTACAATTGTTCCTTTCCCTTACCCAACATTTCACCTTCCATGACTTCAGCTAATGTACATCAACTCTGGCTTACTACTATTAAATGGAAAATCCCCCAAAGAAGCAATTCATGTGTTTTACGTGGTATGCTCTTCTAAGTAATGTGATGAATCTTACGCCATCTCGCTCCACCTGGCCTGGGATTGTGAACTGTCACTTGGTCCAATGTATTCATGCTGTATGTGCTACCTGCCCATTCATATGCAGCAGTTGTCTTGGTTACCAGATCACTGTCATGGTATTACGGTACTTGTGTCATATACTCATATTTTACCTAATAATGGTCATGACATTTAGATATGCCAAAGATTCACCATAAAATGTTTCCTTTAAATGAGAACTTGAAAGTTCTTGACTTCATGAGTGAATAAATGATGTCTGTCAGTGTTGCTAAGGTTTGGTGCTATCTGTGGTTTCAGAATTCACAGGGGTCTTGAAGTGTATCTCCTAAGAATAAAGGGCAACTACTTACTCTATTCTCCTTTCTTCCTTTATCTGCTTTTCTGAGATGAGGTTTTGCCCTGTAGCTCAGGGTGGTCTGGTACTTACTTTGTGGCTCAAGCAGCCCTCACATTTGAAGTAGTTCTCATCAGTCTCCTAAGTGCTGGGGTATCAGGTGTGAGCCCCCAAACCCAGCACTCTACTGGCTTTTCAATACAGTAAACACAGCCCCCTCCAAGGACGCACAGAAAACAGTGAGTTTCTCAGCTACATGATTTTCTCTCTGTGTCTGTATTTGGTATAACGCATTACCAAAAGGGCCAAGCAAGCCAGGTGTAGTGCCTCACACCTGCAATCCCAAATGCTGAGACAGGAGTATTTCTGTGAGTTCAAGGCCAGCCTCGGCTACATGGTAAGTTTGATGCTATCTTGGACTATAGAATTAATTCCTGTCACAGCCTTCTCAGAACAAACAAACAAATGCCAAAGGCCTAAGCTCTTCTGATGAATATTTATTAATTTTAATAAGATAGTTTAGTTTGTATCGTGCACTGCTGCTTATGAAGCGCTGTGATCTCCTTGGTCATTTACTTTTGAAGCTATCCTGTAAGATCGGAAAACCTTGTTGTCAATCAATGATGGCTGAGGTGAGAAGTTGACTAGTTAGTTGAAAAAAGCACACTTTAAAAAAAACACAAAATATACATTTATCTGCTTACTTTTAGTGTAGAATAAGGCCTGTTCTTTGTGAATCAGCTAACTAAACCAGTCATTTTCTCCCACAAAACCAATCCTAAACATGCTATCTCTGATTTCCTATTTCTTCCTAAAAGGCTTGTGTATGTGGATAAATATTCATGTGTCTCCATGTGTATATACACACACGTGTGTGCATGCACACCTATGTGCTTGTGTGTGGAAGGCCAGAATTAACATTGTGTTTCTTCTTCAGTCATTCTCCATGTTCATTTTTGAGATGGGTCCCTCTAAACCTGGGGCTTTTCTTTCCTGCCAGGCTGGCCAGCCAGGGAGCATCCAGGATTCTTTTGTATCTGCCCCAGCATTGGGGTTACAGACTTGTTCTGCACCCTCACTTTTATGTGGGTTCTAGGGATCATGTCTTCATGCTTCTGTGGCAGTCACTTTACCCACTGAGCCATCTGCTCAAGCATCCCCTAAATATTTATTTCTAAGGAGATCAATAATTTGAGACCTTTCCAAGTAATCTGTGTAGGCATACTTTTACCTAGTTCTTAATAGCTGTTTCCTCTGCATCTATCATGTAGTGTTTTAGAATCCACATCTAGTCTTTTCATGTTTGAGAAACATGCCCTTGAGTCTTCCCACAATATACAACTTTTATTGATGCAACAATACTCTTTTTGCATCTGCATTTCACTTGTCTATAGAATTTTTTTTATTAAATTACCTATGTTAAAATAAGTACAACTGGAACAATAGATTTAGAATAAAGCATCCTGTTGAGAGTGAGCTGTGGCTGGGCATGCTGGACCTGTCAAGAAGGAGATGGGAACTTCCTGTTGATGTTGATTTTTACTCTTTGCTCTTTGGCTCTTTACTCTTTGGGGGCCCGGTTACCCAGCTTCCAAATAAATCACACACTTATCACCTAGCTTATTCTTAATTATAAATGCCTTGGCCTTAGCTTGGCTTGTTTCTAGCAAGTTTTTCTTAACATAAATTATCTCATCTACCTTTTGCCTCTGGGCTTTTGCTTTTCTCTATTTCTGTATTTCTTTTCCTTCCTTCTTATTCTGTGTCTGGCTGTGTGATTGGGTGACTGGCCCTTCTTTACTTGCTTCTTGATCTTTCTTACTCTTTCTTTTTTTCTTCCCAGATCTCTCCTTCTATTTATTCTCTCTATCAGCCAGCCCCGCATATCCTTTTTCCTGCCTTGCTATTGGCCCTTCAGTTCCTTATTAGACCATCAGGTGTTTTAGACAGGCACAGTAGCACAGCTTCACAGAGTTGAACAAATGCAACATAAAAGAGTGCCACATATCTTTGCATCATTAAACAAATGTTCCACAGCACAAACAAATGTAACACATTTTAAAATAATATTCTGCAACAACTCTTCCTCCAGCAGTTGAACATAGGGATAGAAACCATGAAGGAGTTTGCTGACATACAGGGTCATATGTGTCAGTAACAAGGGGAGCACAGAGGTGCTCCTCATGGGGAAGTGGAGTGACAATGTTCTCAGTGAATGCTGCACTGAACTTTAAGCCCAGGTTGTTGCCTCCAGACCCTGTGTCCAGTAGCTCTCATGATGGGAACTTTGTATAATACCATCAATTCTTGGGGGGGGGGGGATGTGTCGGATTGAAGAAGATTTATCTGGATCCTACCCAAAGGCCCCAGTTAAAAGGGTATGTAAAAAGCACCTTATTTACAATACTGACATGCTCAGCCGGGACTATATTGGATTTTAAGCTGGAAGTTGGTGTATTTTTCAGATCACTCCAAAATAGATGTAGAATTTTTAAAATTCATTCATGAATGTATTGTTTATTATGTGTTTTATATTGCTTTGGTGGGACTGAGTGTAGATTTAAAAGCTGACAGGGTTCTATGGTCTTTGTTTTTAAAGATTGTTCAATGGATTTGTGAGCATGTCTCTGCCTGCCATTCATTTGACCTCATTCAGGAATTTCTAATTGGTAAGTGCTGCTGATATTGAACTTTAAGCTGTATGTTTGACTCTTTTGCTTGAGAGAAATCAGTAAATTGATAATGAATGCCTCTGTCGAAGTGCTGCTTAAGAGCAGGTTGGTTTTTTTTTTTAACTTCATTGCAATCAGTGGCTAATTAAATTTCACTCTCTTGTGGCTTTTGCAAGAAGCTGTGGTTCTCAGAGACTGATGAGATATAAGATCAGATTTTGATTCTTTAATTAACAAAATTTTCAGTAAAATGCATCTTTCCTAGCCTAGTTTTATCTTGGTTGGCTGTGTATAAATGGTATAACATTATCTAGGCAGAAGCAATACCAAATGGATTTTTAAAAATATTATTCTCATTGTAAAAAAAAAGAGAACCTGAACATCTTAAGCTGTAGATAAAATCATAATGGTTAACCCCCAGCAGCATGAATGAGGTGATGAAAACTCGTTGGTTTATTTGATTTGGTTAAATTACAGTGTTGATTTCTCTCTTCTTATGCCATGTCTCTTTTAAAACTCGACTCAGCTTCTTCCTATTGGAGTGTATATCCAGAGATGAGTGACGTGGACATGCTCTTACCATACTCCTCTGTGCTGACTTGGAATGCAGTAAGTTAACAAAGTCTAGTGGATTCAGCACTGTGGGCCAGTGGTAGACCATTCCAGTTATTGTAATCAGGGCTATGATTTCACTTCTGTTTTGACTGATAAGGAACTGAATTGAAGTTTCTTGTCAGAATGCATAAACAACCCTAATTAGAAAGTCTAAAATCTAAATGCTGCAAAATCTAGAGTATTTTGAGGGTCAATATGATGCCACTGTGAAAATTTACCACATAGGATATATGTATATATGTAAATATGGACACACACATATAGTAAAATCCTATCCTGTGAGCATACATACGTACATATACACATATGCATACATGCACACATGTTCTGAAATGCAGGGCATCTCTTCCCTTGGCCAGGATTGCATAAAACAGCAGACTTGATGGAGTGGACACAAGGTCTTTCCACTTTCTACTCTTTCTACTGCCAGGCAGAACTAAACCTCCTGACAGTGTTTTAGAAAATGACATTTTTACTCCTGTGTTGACCAGACTCAAGTATTTAATAGGTTTTTATGGATGAGGAGTGGCTAGACCACTGTGGTACTGCTTGGTAGGTTTTGACTTTAATGACACCTTTCCCTATTTTTATAAGGATTTATGAAGACACTTAGGTAACAAAGCTTCAGGATGAGTCAAGGTCTTAAGTGCTTACTCTCCCGCTGTTCTTCCTGTCCGTCTGGACTCCTTCCTTCACAGGGGAAGTGATGCACCAGGGCTGTGTGGTGAGCTCAGTGTGGTATGGCCAGCAGCTTCTGCCTCATCTCCTTTCAGTTAGATAGTGGAAGAGTGTGCGTGGTCCTGGAGCAGGAGCTGTATTAAAAGGAAATTTAGAGCAATAAATTTAGGCAACAGGCATTGGGAATGTGTACTAGGGTAAACTGTGACACTTTTCAGTTTGTATTTTGTGTATGTCTCGATACAGTCAGTAAAGTCAATAATGAGACTGACGTGTGGCACAAGCTTGTGATTCTACTCATGAGGCAGGAAGATCTTGAGTTGGAGGTTGGCCTGGCCTATGTAGTAATAGAAATATAACTACAAAAAAGAAATATCCAAGTGCATTTGATTTATTTAATTTTTTTCTGTTTTATCCTCTTTTTGTTTTGAGACATGGGCTCATGTTGCCCAGACTGGCCTGCCTCAAAATCTTAAATTTCTGATCCTTCTGCCTCTCCCGCCAAGTGCATGTATCACCATACCCCGTGAAATTTGATTAATTTCTAAATTTTTGATGCCTACAGGAGTAGCTCCCCTACCCCTTAAGGTCTCCTCTGCTTGTCTTTCGGATTGTAGTTAATGGATTTCTTTACTCCTTGGTCAGGCACCCACGCTGTTGTTTTTCTTTTAGATGACTTATGAACGTATAGGCAGATTCTGTGGTTCTGGGGCAGGAAGCCTGCAGCTTACACCATTGGGTCAGGAAATGTGCATCTCAGCTCTCTGCTTGTTAACCACGGCTGCTTTGTTTAAAGCGTCGAAAGGCAGGGTGGGAACCAGTGGTCCCTGGGCTGTGTTCTAGCTGGATGTCGTGTGAGGCCACCGTCCCAGTGGGCAGTGGTTCATCTGCTCATTTCTCAAGGCTCTCTGGGGCACAGGAGAGTTGGTAAACACATACACAATGACATCTGGATGTCTCCACAAGAAAATGCAGAGAAACCCACAGTTATAACCTCTATATACTAAACCTATCTTGGGGTTTTCCGAGTTACTTTAACACTTCTTGTGGTTAGAATAAGTTATGTTAAAAGGCCTCCTCTAATCCCAAAGCTCTGTGCATTTATATTCATCTTTAGCAATGACGAATGTAAGATTTACCCTTCCCTTCCATAGTCTACAATCATCCCTAATGCTACAACCTTAAAAACTTTCCACAGTAGGAACTAGCAAGTTCACACATGTGGAGAGAAAGATTGACTTGAATTTTTTTTTTAATTTGATACAAAGAATTCACTATGTAGCTCAGGCTAGCCTATGAGCCTCTTACTGGGACCACAGGTGTGTAACACCACACCTACTAACAATTGGATTTTAAAAACAAACACTATGATTTTAAAAAAAAAAAAAAAAAGGACTTGGAAAAAACAAAATCCACTCACTGAACTTAACCAGACCCAAAGTCTATACATTTCAATGGACTTCTACACAGGTAAGTAAGATACTAGAAATTAGGATGTTCTTGCTCATAGCTAATTCTAAAGTATGTGTTATAATTATAGTTATTTTAAAATGTTACAGTTGTTCCTTTTAAAATGCTACTTAGAACTTACATAGGTTATTTTTCTAGTTGTTATAACAAAATAATGCCACAAGAAACCATTGAGGAAAGGTATTTTGCCTCCAGTTTTACAGGATACAGTCCTTCAGTCTTAGGAGATACAGTCCTACAGTTTTAGGGGATACAGTCCTTCAGTCTTAGGGGATACAGTCCTTCAGTTTTAGGGAATACAGTCCTTCAGTTTTGGGGGGATACAGTCCTACAGTTTTGGGGAATACAGTCCTACAGTTTTGAGAATACAGTCCTTCAGTTTTAGGGGATACAGTCCTTCAGTTTTAGGGAATACAGTCCTTCAGTCTTAGGGGATACAGTCCTACAGTTTTGGGGATACGGTCCTTCATGATGGAGAAAGCATCCTGGCAGCAGCTGCAGCACAGCCAAGCAATAAAGACCAGCAAACACTCCTGCCCTGTTGGATTCACCCTTTGTGCAGTTCAGGACCCACATCACAGGAATGATGATCCCTGTACGTAGGGATGCTCTTCCCACCTCAGTTCACCTCATTTAGATAATGCCTCACAGACATACCCAAGCGCCTGCCTCTGACCTAAACGCTGCCAAGCTGAGAATCAATATTAACCGTCACAGAACCTGGAATTGCAGGTCCATTTTGAGGTGACTCTGTTGCTGACCAGTGAAGCAATGCAGACCCTTAACACAGATGTTCTGTGTTCCTGCGGGGAACTCAAAGGCTCAGACGTTCTGAAAGTTTGCCTTTCGTCACAGATGACATTCCTCCCCTAAGAATGGTGTGTCAGTAAGGGCCAGCCATCCAAACTCCAACTAGACATTTGTACAAAACACTCCTAAGCTGTTTTCTCCTACCATTCTGCATTTGGAAGAAAATTAGAATTGACTGGCAGAAAGGCAGACTATGTAGTTAACATACAAATATGTTTTTCATAGTATCAATGAGGTAAGGGCAATTTGGGAAGTTTGTCCCTTTAAGTTACCCCCACCCCCTTTTAATCTACAGGCTTTCATATAGCCAAGGCTGGCCTCAAACTTACTATGGAGCTGAGGATGGCATTGAACTCCTGATCCTCCAGCCTCTATCTCCCTTGCCTGGGATTGGGTGTTCAAGCACCCTCAGCCCACTAAGCTTGGTCCAGTGTTCACTAGTTAGCAGGATGCTGTGTGGGTTTCCTGGCATGAATTGAGCATGTTTTAGCGTGGCTGTTAGACTGTGCAGAAACTCTTTGTGGGGTGCTTGTGTCCTGAGATCATGGTGGACCTCAGTGTGTGAGAGTCCCGCTGATTCTGGTTCCCTCTAGAGAGGAAGTGAAAGGAGAGAAGGACAGAGGATGAAGGTGTACAGATAATGCAATGGTTTCATTTAATTAGGACTTTAATGGTTCAAATATAATTTGCCTCATTTGTTCTTAAGTAGAAATGTCTAGAAATACAGCATTCTATATTTTCTCACAACAATCTTCTCTCCCCTTTAGCGAACCTGTCAGTTATTATTTAAGGCACATTTCCTTTTCCAAAGGCAAGAGACACACTGTGTCCTGTTGTTTTTACACTAGGAAGTTATTTAAAGTAGAGGTTATCGCACAGGAAGCTAGCTGTCCCCGGCTCCCATCTGTGCAGAAGACACTTCCTGAAGAGGCCTGGGCGTAGGGTAGATGATATGTTGTGTGTATGCACCCCCTGCATAGGAAGAGCATGGGGTGATGATATGTTGTGTGTATGCCCCTCTCCCATAGGAAGAGCATGGGG